TCCATCTTTGCGAGACATGGGATCCCGGATGAAGTGGTGTCGGATAATGGTCCACAATTCTCGAGTGCAGAATTCAAAGCATTTGCAGAAAACTGGGAGCTAGTTAAGGAGATAGGGTATTTCATTGTATGTTTTGTTTCTTTTATTTGATTCACAGGAAAGGTACCGGTAGTTTTCGTGGAAAAGTTAGTTCTGTTTGGTTTATTGTTTTGGCATTAGCTCACCCCTGAAGATCTTGCTTCTACTCTTTTCCCCTGCTTGTTTGATTCTTTGATTCTGTATTTTCAAGATATTGTTTTATGAATGTCAACACAATGCGGCCCTGAAAACAACTCAGAGGGCAAGAAAATAGCAATAAACTCAAGCTAACTAAAGGAATTGGTTTTGTTGTTTATGTTACACCCTGACCTAGACCAGGGATCGTAACAGAACATACCACCTCAAGTCCTGGATTTCCACAGGCAAATGGACAAAGTGAAAGAGCAATCCAGACAGTCAAGAACCTGTTAAAGAAAGCACAGGAGAGCCAAAGAGATCCTTATACTGCTCTATTGGAGTACAGAAATGCTCCTATGGATGGTGTGAAACTATCTCCTGCACAGATGCTTATGGGTCGAAGACTGAAATCAAAATTGCCTACATCAACACAGCTGTTGAGACCACAGCTGTACAGAAATGTACATAAAGACGTCAAGGACAGACAGCTTAAACAGAAAAGTTACTTTGACTGTGGAGCAAAACAGTTACCACCTATAGCAGATGGAGAGAAAGTGAGAGTAAAAGTCAAAAACAACTGGCAACCAGCAATTGTGTTGAGGAGTCATGAAAAACCGAGATCATATGTGTTTCAAAGGCCTGATGGAAACACCTTCAGAAGAAATCGACGACACCTGCTGAAAACCAGAGAAATGACTTTTCCACAACCAAGCTCTACAGAGTTGGAGGAATGTTCTTCAGCAAACAGAGCGCTTGCAGAGAGTAGCACTCCAGTGCAATCACCTGCACTTTAAGCAGTGAGACCTGTAACACCAATTGTGGACAAGGAAGAACAGGTCAAAAGGTCAAGATGGGGTAGACTGATTAGACCACCAAAACTCTATTCTCCATGAAAGCATTAAAGAGGAGTTAAAGAGTAAAGAGATGTTTATAGTTAATGGTTTATGGGAACAACACTGATTAAAGTTATAGAGTGTAATTGAGAAAATAATAATAATAGCCTACTAGATGTGTTTAAACTATTTTGTAAGGGAATTTATTTCTTAACAGGGGAGATGTGATGTGTGGTAATTGTATTATTATTCCTTACCTGAGGATGGCGCTAGCAGTCTATAGATGTGTTGGGTTGTAACCTGTAAAAGAGGGGAATAACAAAGTTCAGTAAAAACAGCAAGTCACATGAAACCAGTGTCTCCGTGATTTATTCAAACTTGCATCCACTAAACTTCACAGTTACTTCATGTGATCAAACAGGGTATAGCAACTCATGTTTCGAAAGAATATTGGTACTTTTTTGCCAAATCAGCTTAGGTTCACAAACATTGTTCAGAAAACTTAATATTTTGAGTTTCTGTTGAAAAAATCAATTAACTTTCAATCAATCAACTTTTATTTATATAGCACAATAAAAGCAACAGTAGTTGGCCATTGTGCTGTACAACAGGATACATATCTAAAAAACAAGAAAGACCACAAAACAAATTATATAGGGAGTTTACATCAGAAAGAGCAATCAGAAAATTAAACATTAAAATCAAGGACAGGTGTAAGCCTGTGAAAAGAGGTAGGTTTTTAACTTAGATTTTAAAACAGACCCTGTGGATACTACCCACTGAGCAAAATGATGTCCAAAAGACGTCTTTTCAACGTCTTTGTCACAAAAGTCGGACGTTGAAAAGACGTCCACTGAGGAGCCAGAATGAAAGTTTTTATGACGGCTTTTTTTGACGTGTTCTGCACGTCCGATCTAGACGTTCATGGACCCTCTTCGGACAATGTTAAAAACTAGTTCAAATGTGGCCATTGTGGACATATTTTCAACATCAGTTATGGTTTAATTTAGACAATTTATACTGTTTCTGGACCAATTAAACACTCAGGATGCATTAAATTAAAACTCATGTTTATATCAATTTAATTTCCTTACATTGTTTAGATGAGGTTTAGATGTTGATGTTTCATTTTAAGTTACCATTGTGGTGATCAGTGTTTGCTTTAGTTGGGCTCTTGGTCCCAATTCCTCTTACTTTAACTCTTCTTTGGCTATTGTAACTGTGTGTTTGTATAACACCATTGTTGTGGCAGAGAAAGCCAAGAAAAATTAAGTTCGGCTGTCATCAGCTCCTTGTTGATGTTGACAAAATCAACACAAAGTGAGCATTTAATGTTGTTTAAGACTTTTGTCTTTTTATCTGACATTTATAAGCCCCAATCTTATGGAACTGCATTATTTGGACTGGTACCATTACAATGATCTCTTATTTGAAGGTGGATAAAAAAAGCAAGTATACACAATGTTATGAGAAAATGTACCATATAGGCACACGCTGACATCAAGATTGTGCGTATGATTCACAACAATGGTGACAATAAAAAAACTTCATGCTGCAATGCATGATGGGTAGCTTTCATAGTACAAAACATCCTTGATTCCAAAGCTTTTTTGTTTTGGTTGTCACCGTTGTTGAGAATCATAAGCAAAATCTTGATGTCTGTGTGTGACTACATGATACACTTGCTCAAAACATTGTGTACACATGCTTTTATCCACCTTCAAATAAGTGATAATTTTAATGGTACTGGTCCAAATAATGCAGTTCCACAAGATTGGTGCTTATAAATCCCAGATATAAAGACAAAAGTCTAAACACAACATTTAATGCTCACTTTGTGATGATTTTGTCATCATCAACAAGGATAGGAGCTAATGACAGCCGATTTTCCTTTTCTTGGCTTTCTCTGCCACAACAATGGTATTATACAAACACACAGTTACAATAGCCATAGAAAAGTTAAAATAAGAAGAAATGGGACCAAGAGCCCAACTAAAGCAAACACTGATCACCACAATGGTAACTTAAAATGAAACATCAACATCTAAACCTCATCTAAACAATGTATGGAAATTACATTGATATAAACATGAGATTTAATTTAATCCATCCTGAGTGTTCAATTGGTCCAGAAACAGTATAAATTGTCTAAATGAGACCATAAATGATGTTGAAAATATTTCCACAATGGCCACATTTGAACTAGTTTTTAACCTTGTCCGAAGAGGGTCCATGAACGTCTATATCGGACGTGCAGAACACGTCAAAAAAAGCCATCATAAAAACTTTCATTCTGGCTCCTCAGTGGACGTCTTTTCAACGTCCGACTTTTGTGACAAAGACGTTGAAAAGACGTCTTTTGGACATCATGTTGTATAGCCTTAGGGATAGAGGAATTTATCATTTATCTGTTTATCAAATTTAAGAGCAGAATCAAAAATAACACCCAAGTTTTTCACAGAGTGTTTTATATAGGGGACCTACTTAATTTTTAAGGCTACTTTAAGTTAAACCAACAAATAATTTTTACAGTCTGATTGTGTCTTTAATAATTTCTGTGCATTATGTTAATATAATACCGCATCTACAATAATACATTTTAATATAAAAATTTAATTAAAATAACATTTTCTAAAGTGACTTCACATTATGTTTTCGCTGGAGGAGAACAATTGTTCTGTCCTCTCTGAAGTAAATTAAGAGTTTGGTTTTTTTTACTTAATTGTGTGTGCAACAGTGCCCCCTTTTGGATAACCAGCAATTGTAGCTTTAGTTTAAGTTTCACTTTCTGAGGTAAATTTCCATCAACAGTTTAGTTGAGTGTGCTGCAGAGCAAAGTGCCAGTGCTGTTTTCTCCTGCTGCATTTTTTCCTTTTACATTGTTGCCTTGGATACTATTTGTCCGTAAGTACTGTACATATTACTAAAAAATGTTAAAAGTAATTGTACTTGGCATATCTTTTGTTTATTGGAGTTTTCTCAAGTCAAAGGACTAAATTGATAGTTAGCAGCATGGCTATTAGTTATGACTTACCATTCTGTTGCTACAAATTGTGTACTTTAGATATCTGTATTGGTTTTATCTAATTTCTGTTTGTCTTTTGCTCTTTGTTACAGTTTTACAGTGTAATAAGAAAAGTAAAGTTTCTTCGTGGAACCCAAGAAAAGTTATGCCTTGTGTCTTTTTTGGAGAGCTTTACACTGTTAGCTAACTGTCGAGCTTTGAAGAAGCAACTCATTGCAAGGACAGTATAACAATAGTGTGATTAGGGGTGAACGCAGCAAATACTGTACACTGGGAAACTCTCGTATCACTCCAGCATCACATTATGTAAACGGCATTTATGACAAACTGTAATATCATGACAGTCTATCGATAAACACACACCCTGTCCCTCTGCTTCTGACGCTGGTGCTGACGTCCTCGTCTGGAGATTCACACTGACATAACAGAATATCTTGATCTAGAACCAAACAGAAAAATCAACAGATACTCAACTTCAGCTCTGTGAATATAGAAAATACTATTGATCAGATTGTGCTCTTTTTGCTTTAGTTTCATTCAGCTATCTGAAACATTAGAGAAAAGAGTCAGCACACAGTAAGACTACAGACAAGCACATCTGAGAGGCATTTGCTCTCCATTCGATCTCAGTGCCGCCCAGAGCAACCCATTAATAAAGGAGATCATGTGATTTATGACTTCAGCTATGAGAAGTGTTCAACAAACAGAGCATGTGATATCCGAGGGAAAGAGACAAAACTATAGGAGAAACAAAAAACAAACACAATCGTGTGTAACGGGAGAACATGTGATTATTGCAGTTGTTTGATGAATAATCTGGTCAGAGGTTAGCCGTGTGTTTGTCAGTGTGTGCAGAGGTTCTTCCTGTTTACGTGTTCTGCATTGGTTAATGTGTAATCCAAGAGAAGAATAAAACTCCTGCTCCTCTCCGTGTGTTTCTAGTCTGAGCGTCCCGCGATCAGGAGCCATGAGCTACGGTCTGTTCTTCTCAGCTGAAACATGGGCTCTGCTCATGCTGTTTGTGGCGCTTCTGGTTATGTGAGTGATTCATGACTCTTGTTGTCTCAAATCTTTAAATCTTTAGTTCTAAAATCTCAATAAAAATGAGTCATTCAGTCATTTGAGTGCATGTAGAGATGCAGGGCTATTATTACAGTCACTGTATCAGGTGATATTCTAACAGGTTAAACAGTTTGTTGCATTATTTTCCCGTTATCTCTGTAAAGCTGCTTTGAAACAATCTGTATTGTAAAAAGCACTATGTAAATAAAGGTGACTTTAACCATTTCAAATATCTAATGCTGTATGTGTCATAAGATCTGTCTAAAATCTCAGCAAACAGGGAACGTTCTGTCAAGGTTCTCTCAAAGTTATGAACAAACGTTTTTCCAGTATCATTAATCATAGTTATTTGGACTATAGCTTTCCCATAATGTTTGTAGAAGGATAAAATGGAATGTTTCCTAAATGTTTTTTTTTACGTAATAAGAACATTAGGAAAACATACTCAGAACATATTTTTGTCAGCTGGGATTGTTTTGATTTGAATGGTTTTGATGTCCCTTCCAGATATGGATATTGGCCTCACAGTCAGTTCAAGAAGTTGGGAATAGCAGGTCCCAAACCCATCCCGTTCTTCGGAACGATACTGAGATATCGAGAGGTAAGTTTATGAACTGTTCGTTAAAGATCCATGCGAATCTAACGTGAACCTGTCTGTGTCAAACACACGGATGATACTATAGTCTTCTTCTCTCAGTGTTTAACTTATAACTCTTCTGAACGTGTCTTAATGTGAACGCTGTTGCTGTGCTTTCAGGGGTTTCATAATTTCGATCTTGAGTGTTTCAAGAAGTATGGACGAGTCTGGGGGTGAGTGTGAGACTAACGGATGACACTTCACTGATCAATCTCAATGAATCATCTGAAAGAATCATTTCAGAACATCTGAAACAGAAATGACTCCGCTGTGTGCATCAGTTTAAGATGAAATGACAAACATGATTAAACGTTCAACATGAAGATCTGTAATGAAGAGCCGAGGATGACGATCATAATGAGACCATGATAATGACAGTGAATCAATCGTACTGGTATAATGAACTGAATGATTCTTCTGAATGTAATATTTTTCTGAGTTGTTTGTGTTTCTCACAGTATCTACGATGCGAGGCAGCCCGTTCTGTGCATCATGGATCAATCCACCATCAAAACCATCCTGATTAAAGAATGTTACTCTCTCTTCACCAACAGAAGGGTAAAATCACCATCATCTCTGTCATCATTCATAAATGAAATAGTTTTGAAATACTACAGAACCCTTGAGGACATGGTGATGATAAAAAAGAGAGATGGGAGGAAAAATTACATTTCAATGCTTTTGCGAGAGGACACAAAGTTTCTCAGGGGAACACAAAAGATTTGTAAAGGAACGCAAAGTTTCTTTGGGAATGCAGATGGTTTTTTTAGAGAACACAAAAAATTTGCGAGCAAACACAAAGTTAGTCTGGGGAACACAAAAGAAGGTAAACATTATCTGGCAGCACAAAAGATTTGCAAGAGAACACAGAGTTTCTTTGGGACCAAAATATTTGTCAGAGAAAGCAAAGTTTCTTTGGGAACGCAAAAGATTTGTGAGAGAACGCAAAATTTCTTTGGGAACGCAAAAGATTTGCAAGAGAACGCAAAGTTCTTTTGGGCACACAAAAAAATAGCAAGAGATTGCAACATTTCTTTGGGAACGCAAAAGATTTGTGCAAGACTGCAAAGTTTCCCATGGAACGCAAAAGTTTTTTGAGAGAATGCAACATTTTTCAGGAGAACACAAAATATTTGTGAGAGAACGCAAAGTTTCTCAGGGAATGCAAAAGTTTTGAGAGAGAATGCAAAGTTTTTCTTGGAAACTCAAAATGTTTGTGAGAACGTAAAGTTTCTCTGTGAATGCAAAAGTTTTGTGAGAGAACGGCAAGTTTCTCGGGGAACGCAAATATTTAGCGAAAGAACGCAAAGTTTCTCCAGGAAAAAAAGATTTGTGAGAGAATGCAAAGTTTCTCAGGGGAACGAAAAATATTAGCAAAAGAACATAAAGTTTATCAGGGAACGCAAAGGATTTGAAAAAGAACGCAAATTTTCTCAGAGAACACAAAGTTTCTCAGGGAACGCAAAAGTTTTGTTAGAGAACGCAAAGTTTCTCTTGGGAACAAAAAATTAGCAAGAGAGTGCAAAGTTTCTTTGGGAACGGAAAAGTTTTTTAAAAGAACGGCGAGTTTCTCAGGGGAATGCAAATATTTAAAGAAAGAATGCGAATGCAAAATTTCTCCGGGAACAAAAGATTTGTAAAAGAACGCGAAGTTTCTCAGGGGAACGAAAAAGATTAGCAAGAGAACACAAATTTTCTCAGAGAACACAAAGTTTCTTAGGGAACGCAAAAGTTTTGTTAGAGAACGGCAAGTTTCTCGGGGAACGCAAATATTTAGCGAAAGAACGCAAAGTTTCTCCAGGAAAAAAAGATTTGTGAGAGAATGCAAAGTTTCTCAGGGGAACGAAAAAGATTAGCAAAAGAACATAAAGTTTATCAGGGAACGCAAAGGATTTGAAAAAGAACGCAAATTTTCTCAGAGAACACAAAGTTTCTCAGGGAACGCAAAAGTTTTGTTAGAGAACGCAAAGTTTCTCTTGGGAACAAAAAATTAGCAAGAGAGTGCAAAGTTTCTTTGGGAACGCAAAAGTTTTTTGAAAGAACGGCAAGTTTCTCAGGGGAATGCAAATATTTAAAGAAAGAATGCAAATTTTCTCCGGGAACAAAAGATTTGTAAAAGAACGCGAAGTTTCTCAGGGGAACGAAAAAGATTTGCTAGAGAAAAGTTTCTTTGGGACCACAAAAAAATGGTAAGAGATTGCAACATTTCTTTGGGAACACAAAAGTTTTATGAGAGAATGCAACGTTTCTTTGGGATCACAAAAGAATTGTGAGGGAACGCAAAGTTTCTTTGGGAACACAACAGTTTTGTGATAAAACGCAAAGTTTATCAGGGAGACACAAAAGTTTTGTGAGATAATGCAAAGTTTCACTTGGAAACAAAATATTTGTGAGAACGCAAAAATTCTCAAGGAATGGAAAAGTTTTGTGAGAGAATGCAAAGTTTCTCTTGGGAATAAAAAATTAGCAAGACAGCGCAAAGTTTCTCTGGAAACGCAAAAGGTTTGCAAGAAAACGGAAAGTTTTCTTTGGGACCACAAAAAAATGGTAAGAGATTGCAACATTTCTTTGGGAACACAAAAGTTTTATGAGAGAATGCAACGTTTCTTTGGGATCACAAAAGAATTGTGAGGGAACGCAAAGTTTCTTTGGGAACACAACAGTTTTGTGATAAAACGCAAAGTTTATCAGGGAGACACAAAAGTTTTGTGAGATAATGCAAAGTTTCACTTGGAAACAAAATATTTGTGAGAACGCAAAAATTCTCAAGGAATGGAAAAGTTTTGTGAGAGAATGCAAAGTTTCTCTTGGGAATAAAAAATTAGCAAGACAGCGCAAAGTTTCTCTGGAAACGCAAAAGGTTTGCAAGAAAACGGAAAGTTTTCTTTGGGACCACAAAAAAATGGTAAGAGATTGCAACATTTCTTTGGGAACACAAAAGTTTTATGAGAGAATGCAACGTTTCTTTGGGATCACAAAAGAATTGTGAGGGAACGCAAAGTTTCTTTGGGAACACAACAGTTTTGTGATAAAACGCAAAGTTTATCAGGGAGACACAAAAGTTTTGTGAGATAATGCAAAGTTTCACTTGGAAACAAAATATTTGTGAGAACGCAAAAATTCTCAAGGAATGGAAAAGTTTTGTGAGAGAATGCAAAGTTTCTCTTGGGAATAAAAAATTAGCAAGACAGCGCAAAGTTTCTCTGGAAACGCAAAAGGTTTGCAAGAAAACGGAAAGTTTTCTTTGGGAACAAAAAATTAGCAAGAAAGCGCAAAGTTTCTCAGGGAATGCAAAAGATTTGTGAGAGAACACAAAGTTTCTCAGGGAACCAAAAGTTTTGTGAGAGAACGCAAAGTTTATTTGGGAACGCAAAATATTTGTAAGAACGTAAAGTTTCTCAGGGAATGCAAAAGATTTGTGAGAATGCAAAGTTTCTCAGGGAACCAAAAGTTTTTTGAGAGAACGCAAAGTTTCTTTGGGAACGCAAAATATTTGTAAGAACGTAAAGTTTCTCTGGGAATGCAAAAGATTGGTGAGAGAACGCAAAGTTTCTTTGGGAACAAAAGATTTGTGAGAGAACGCAGTTTCTTTGGTTATGCAAAAGATTTGTGAGCACATGCAAAAGATTTGTGAGCACACGCAAAAGATTTGCAAGAGAACGCAAAATTTCTCAGGGAACACAAAAGATTTGTAAGAACGTAAAGTTTCTCAGGGAACGCAAAAGATTTGTGAGAATGCAAAAGATTTGTGAGAGAATACAAAGTTTATCAGGGAACGCAAAAGTTTTGTGAGAGAATACAAAGTCTCTCTTGGAAACGCAAAAGATTTGTGAGAGAACGTAAAGTTTCTTTGGAAACATAAAACATATTTGTGAGAGAACGCAAAGTTTCTTTGGAAACACAAAAGATTTGTGAGAGAACGGAAATTTTCTTTGGGAACTCAAAAGATTTACAAGAGAACGCAAAGTCTCTCTTGGAAACGCAAAAGATTTGTGAGAGAATGCAAAGTTTCTTTGGGAACACAAAAGATTTGTGAGAGAATGTAAAGTTTATCTGGGAATGCAAAAGTTTTGGGAGAGAATGCAAAATTTTCTCTTGGGAACAAAAAATTTGCAAGAAAGTGCAAAGTTTCTAAGGGAACACAAAAGATTTGTGAGAATGCAAAGTTTCTCGGAGAATGCAAAAGATTTGTGAGAGAACGCAAAGTTTATCAGGGAACGCAAAAGTTTTGTGAGAGAACGCAAAGTTTCTCTTGGCAACACAAAAGATTTGTGAGAATGCAAAATTTCTCAGGGAATGCAAAAGTTTTGTGAGAGAATGCAAAGTTTCTCTTGGGAACAAAAAATTAGCAAGAGAGCGCAAAGTTTCTCTGGGAGCGCAAAAGATTTGGAAGAAAACGTAAAGTTTTCTTTGGGAGCGCAAAAGATTTGGGAGAGAACGTAAAGTTTCTTTGGAAACATAAAATATTTGTGAGAGAATGTAAAGTTTCTTTGGGAATGCAAAAGTTTTGGGAGAGAATGCAAAGTTTCTCTTGGGAACAAAAAATTAGCAAGAGAGCGCAAAGTTTCTTTGGGAACACAAAAGATTTGTGAGAGAATGTAAAGTTTCTTTGGGAATGCAAAAGTTTTGTGAGACAACGCAAAGTTTCTCTTGGCAACACAAAAGATTTGTGAGAATACAAAATTTATCAGGGAATGCAAAATTTTTGTGAGAGAATCCAAAGTTTCTCTTGGGAACAAAAAATTTGCAAGAGAGCGCAAAGTTATTCTGGGAGCGCAAAAGATTTGGAAGAAAAAGCAAAGTTTCTTTGCGAACACAAACAATATGTGAGAGAACGTAAAGTTTCTTTGGAAACATAAAACATATTTGTGAGAGAACGCAAAGTTTCTTTGGAAACACAAAAGATTTGTGAGAGAACGGAAATTTTCTTTGGGAACTCAAAAGATTTACAAGAGAACGCAAAGTCTCTCTTGGAAACGCAAAAGATTTGTGAGAGAATGCAAAGTTTCTTTGGGAACACAAAAGATTTGTGAGAGAATGTAAAGTTTATCTGGGAATGCAAAAGTTTTGGTAGAGAATGCAAAATTTCTCTTGGGAACAAAAAATTTGCAAGAAAGTGCAAAGTTTCTCAGGGAGCACAAAAGATTTGTGAGAATGCAAAGTTTCTCGGAGAATGCAAAAGATTTGTGAGAGAATACAAAGTTTATCAGGGAACGCAAAAGTTTTGTGAGAGAATGCAAAGTTTCTCTTGGCAACACAAAAGATTTGTGAGAACGCAAAATTTCTCAGGGAATGCAAAAGTTTTGTGAGAGAATGCAAAGTTTCTCTTGGGAACAAAAAATTAGCAAGAGAGCGCAAAGTTTCTCTGGGAGCGCAAAAGATTTGGAAGAAAATGTAAAGTTTTCTTTGGGAGCGCAAAAGATTTGGGAGAGAACGTAAATTTTCTTTGGAAACATAAAATATTGTGAGAGAATGTAAAGTTTCTTTGGGAATGCAAAAGTTTTGGGAGAGAATGCAAAGTTTCTCTTGGGAACAAAAAATTAGCAAGAAAGCGCAAAGTTTCTCTGGGAACGCAAAAGATTTATGAGAATGCAAAGTTTCTCGGAGAATGCAAAAGATTTGTGAGAGAACAAAGTTTTCTTTGGGAGCGCAAAAGATTTGGGAGAGAATGCAAAGTTTCTTTGCGAACACAAACGATTTGTGAGAGAATGTAAAGTTTCTTTGGAAACATAAAATATTTGTGAGAGAACGCAAAGTTTCTCAGTGGAACACAAAAGATTTGCTAAAGAATGCAGATTCATAGAAATATCGTTTTCCCCCTATCTTTTATCTCTGTAAAATATAAACGGTACTTAAGTTAAGAAATGTGAATTATTTGTATTAATCATTTGAATGTTTTCAGGACAGAGATTGTGCTTGTGTCGTCATTTTATCTTCATTGTGTCCACATTTGTCCTCTGATCTGGCAGAACTTCCGTCTGAACGGGCCTCTGTACGACGCCGTGTCCATCGTTGAAGACGACGACTGGAGGAGAATCCGCAGCGTCCTCTCGCCCTCCTTCACCAGCGGGAGGTTAAAGGAGGTCCGTGAGTCTTTATCTGGATCTTTCTCACGCAAACAAGGGTTACAGCAGTATTTATTACATCGCTTATCTGAAGCGTTACGTGAAAGCAGTAATATTGTGCTATACTACAAACTCATTTGAACTGAACTACAGAATCATTCATGCTGAGGGTGATGTGTGAGTGTATGGTTCTCTTCATAATAAATATCAACATTACCGGTAAAGATATTATGAAGATGATGATGTACTTCTGCTTCTCACTCTAGATGTTTGGCATCATGAAGACACACTCTCAAATTCTAGTTCAGAATCTGGGGAAATCAGCAACACGAGGAGAGAACGTGGATATTAAAGAGTGAGACATTGCATAATATCACAAATGCTTCTCGTTATCTGAAGAGATAAGAATGGAGCCGCAATAATATCACTATAATTACCTGAGCAAAGGTGTATGATTTCCTCACCAATCACCTTTAATAACCTCCCGGACAGAGGAAACATTCACTACATGTAGAGCACTGTATATAGGCTGTATGTTTATCAGATGAGAATAATAATGGCTTTCTCTTGACTGCATGTGTTCAGGTTCTTCGGCGCGTACAGTATGGATGTGGTGACCAGCACAGCGTTCAGCGTGGACATCGACTCCCTCAACAACCCCAAAGATCCATTTGTGACCAACATAAAGAAGATGCTGAAGTTTGACTTCCTGAGCCCTGTGTTCCTGATCAGCGGTAAAGAACTCAACTAGTCCTGTCAGTTAAACACACTTCAAAAGCTTTTTTTCTTGGTTATGCAAATGTTTAAGGAACATTCCATTTTCTCATTTTTCCCAAACATTATGGGAAGGTAACTTTTGAATGTTCTGAAACAAGTAGTAACATTTAAAAAAAACGTTAGACAAACGTCCAATAAAAAGGTTTCAGAAAAAAAACAATCCATGAGCGATGTATAAATTATGTTTTTGTGTTAACGTTTTCAGAACATTATAAAACACCAGAAAACTTTGAAGGAACATACCATGAATGTTTATGGAAAAGCATTTGTTCATAACGTTGAGAGAACCTTGTCAGAATATTAGCAAAAGTTCTGAGAATGTTCCCTGTTATGAGAATTTACAATTTCTTCTGTAGCTTTGTTTCCTTTCATGATTCCCGTCCTGGCAAAAATGGATTTAGCATTTTTCCCAACATCTGTGACTGATTTCTTCTACGCTGCCTTACAGAAGATCAAGTCTGAAAGAGTGGCCAACGACCACAAGAAGGTACAACAAACACTTAACCTGAAGAGCTATATAGTCATGATGTTTTAAACCACTCTTCCCAATTCCTGCAGAAGAGAGTTGACTTCCTGCAGCTGATGGTCGATTCTCAGACGGCAGGGAAAACTCAGCCTGGCGAGGAACACACCGAGAAAGGTGAAGCATATCAGATGGTAAAGCATAAGAAAGAGCTTTCTTCCATATGTGAAGACACGTACCTTAAACCGTGTCCTGTGCAGGTCTGAGCGACCACGAGATCTTATCGCAGGCCATGATCTTCATCTTCGCCGGTTACGAGACCAGCAGCAGCACTCTGTCGTTCTTATTCTACAATCTCGCAACCAACCCAGAGGCCATGAAGAAACTGCAGGAGGAGATCGACGAGACCTTCCCAAATAAGGTAGTACTCCATTGAAACACTCGTTGGGATCAGTGTGATGAGTTTGAGACTTTAAACATTGATTGTGTGTTGAAGGCCCCGGTGGACTACGAAGCCGTCATGAACATGGACTATCTGGACGCCGCGCTGAACGAGTCCCTCCGGCTGTTCCCTGTCGCAGCTCGACTCGAACGGGTCTGCAAGAAAACGGTGGAAATCAATGGCATCATCATCCCTAAAGATATGGTCGTCATGATCCCGACCTTCGCCCTCCACAGAGACCCGGATTACTGGAGTGACCCCGAGAGCTTCAAACCGGAGAGGTCAGGACGGGTTTCTCCTGTTTCACTCATTATACGAGTCCGGTTAAGCTACAGTCAAGCTCCACTAGCTACAATAGAGCGAGAATCTGGACGTGAAAATCCCATTCATTTTCCACATAGGGGGAATTGATTTTAATTGATTAAAGACAGACCTTCATGTAGGTTGTTCATCGATGATATTTGCTTTCGATGAAGCCATCATTCCACGTTATTTTAAATGACTTTTTCAAAGAATAGTTTGTGAATCCTGGTGAGATACTACATTACCCAGAAAACCTAAATAAATCTCCACCAATCAGGGAATCAAAACAATCAAACTGCACTTAGAGAACTCTTTTAATGTCCAGGTTTTTTTTAATTAGTTTACAAAAAAAAAATATTGGTTATGCGAAAGTCCCATTCTTCAAACATTATGGAAACGTTACTTTTGAAAATTCTGAAAACATCTGAGAACATTCCCTGTTAGCTGGTTGGCTTGGTTCATAGATAATAACTCTCTATAGAAAATATCTGTAAAATCACTTTGGAAAAAATACTTCCGGAACCAAGACCACTGAAAAAGTAAGTGGCACTGTTGCACTAGGAACACAAGGTTGGACCTTTAGAGTAACTGTCTATATATATACTTCAACCCAATGTGACTCTTTTCTACCTTATTAACAGATTCACTAAAGGAAACAAGGAGACGGTTGACCCCTACATGTACATGCCCTTCGGCCTCGGTCCCAGGAACTGCATCGGGATGCGATTTGCTCAGGTGACCATGAAGCTGGCGATCGTGGAGATCCTGCAGAGGTTCGACGTCTCTGTGTGTGCGGAGACACAGGTGAGCAGACGGGTTGGTGTCTGGTAACAGGAGGACGTTTGTTCATTCGTTCGCTCACACTGACCTTCTCTTGCTCTTCACAGGTTCCTCTGGAGCTCGGCCTAAGCGGTCTACTGGCTCCCAAAGACCCCATCAAGCTCAAACTCGAGCCTCGGACAGCTTCAGACGTTTGTAACAACAAATCGTAACGCAGCTCGTCCGCTGCACACTTCTTTATCAGTCCGAGGAGAAGGTTTGATGGGTCTTTTAAAATAAAAGAATTGACGTAGTCTCTAGTCTTCAGTGAAGAGGAGGATTCGACTCGGACTGAGAGGTTTAGCAACTTTACTTTACTACAGTAGTGAATGTCAGACAGATTCTGTTGTTCCCTGAG